GAATAGCAGTCAGTGTCCTTAAAGCGGGTGTGTTACGCTAACAGTGGATATGGTGACCATTGCCACCACTTAGATCTGGTGACACAAAGCTTGGATTTAAAAACAAAAAACACTGTTTTCACTGTTATAGATTGAATAGCAGTCAGTGTCCTTAAAGCGGGTGTGTTACGCTAACAGTGGATACGGTGACCAGTGCCACCACTTAGATCTGGTGACACAAAGCTTGGATTTAAAAACAAAAAACAATTTTTTCACTGTTATAGATTGAATAGCAGTCAGTGTCCTTAAAGCGGGTGTGTTACGCTAACAGTGGATACGGTGACCATTGCCACCACTTAGATCTGGTGACACAAAGCTTGTATTTAAAAAAAACAAAACACTTTTTTCACTGTTATAGATTGAATAGCAGTCGGTGTCCTTAAAGCGGGTGTGTTACGCTAACAGTGGATACGGTGACCAGTGCCACCACTTAGATCTGGTGACACAAAGCTTGCATTTAAAAACAAAAAACTTTTTTCACTGTTATAGATTGAATAGCGGTCAGTGTCCTTAAAGCGGGTGTGTTACGCTAACAGTGGATACGGTGACCAGTGCCACCACTTAGATCTGGTGACACAAAGCTTGTATTTAAAAACAAAAAACACTTTTTCACTGTTATAGATTGAATAGCAGTCAGTGTCCTTAAAGCGGGTGTGTTACGCTAACAGTGGATACGGTGACCAGTGCCACCACTTAGATCTGGTGACACAAAGCTTGTATTTAAAAACAAAAAACACTTTTTTCACTGTTATAGATTGAATAGCAGTCAGTGTCCTTAAAGCGGGTGTGTTACGCTAACAGTGGATACGGTGACCAGTGCCACCACTTAGATCTGGTGACACAATAGCTTGGATTTAAAAACAAAAAACTTTTTTCACTGTTATAGATTGAATAGCAGTTGGTTATCTTCAAGCGGGTGTCAGGCCTACAGCCTGTGCTCTGCACAACTGTGCCAGTGCACATTGCCACTCATATCTGGTCTCACAGTAGCTTGCACGCATAGTACCACTAATCCCAACAAAAATGACAGGTAGAGGCAGGCCACCCCGCAGGGGCCATCGTGGTCGTGGTGCTGTGATTCCCTTTGGCCCTAGAATAATGCCCAGTTTTCAGAGGCCACGTACCCTGAACTTGAAAAGTTCTGAGGACATAGTTGAATGGCTAACACAGGACACCCAATCTTCTACAGCCTCCGCTCAGAACCTTGACGCACCATCCTCCTCCAGCTTAGCTTCAGGCACCTCTCAAGATACCACTCACCCGCCTGCTGCCACCACCAAAACTAGCACCACAGCCGCTTCGGTTGGTATGTCAGAGGAGTTATTCACACATCCGTTTGAAGAAATGAGTGATGCGCAACCATTATTGCCAGAGGATGTAGATAACAGGGATATGTCTCAGGCAGGCAGCATAACACACATGGACGTACGGTGTGATGATGATGATGATGTTGTACCCGCTGCTGCTTCCTTTGCTGAGTTGTCAGATACAAGTGAAGCGGTTGATGATGACGATGCGTCCATGGATGTCACGTGGGTGCCCGCTCGTCAAGAAGAAGAACAGGCGAAAGTTCAGATGGGGAGACAGGGAGGAGGAGGAGACGAGTTGGAAGCAGGGGAAGGTCGTCGCAAGGAGCTAGTGGCACAGTCAGACAGCATGCATCGACACCCGAGGTCAGCCCGACAGCACGCCAATCAACGCATGCTGTGTCCACCACCAGAATGCCGTCATTGCAGAGCTCAGCAGTGTGGAATTTTTTTGTGTGTCTGCCTCTGACGCTTAGCGATGCCATTTGCAACCTGGCCACTTAGAAACTGAGTCGTGGGAAGTCCAGCACCCACCTAGAGTACAACTGCTTTGCGTAGGCACCTTGATCTCACATCTGGCAGCCTATGGGATCCAACACATGAGTAAACGGCTAAGCCTACTCTAAAGCCGCCAGCTTCCTCCTGGTCCAGCACAGCCACGTGGCTTCCTGCTGCCCTCCTTATCCCCTCTCAACCATCTGCCACTCAGCCTCCCGCCTTGGGCAGTTCAGCTCATCTTCCCACAGTCATGTGTCTGTCAGGACATGTTGGCGTAAGAAGACAATGTCAGAAGGAGTCACCCCCTTGCCCAGCGTCTGACTGCTGGCTTGTCGAACTATTAGCCCGCCAGCTTTTACCATACAAGCTGGTGGAGTCTGAGGCGTTCAAAAAATTTGTAGCTATTGGGACACCGCAGTGGAAGGTACCCGGCCGAAATTACTTTTCGCAAAAGGCAATCCCCAACCTGTACTCAATTGTGCAAAAGGAAGTAATAGCATCTCTGGCACACAGTGTTGGGGCAAGGGTCCATTTGACCACTGATACCTGGTCTGCAAAGCATGGTCGGGGCAGGTATATCACCTACACTGCGCATTGGGTAAACCTGCTGACTGCTGCCAAGCATGGAATGCATGGCTCTGCAGAGGAGTTGGTGACACCGCCGCGACTTGCAGGCAGTCCTGCTGCCACCTCCTCTACTCCTCCTACTCCATCCTCTTCCATAACCTCCTCGGCTGAGTCCTCTTCTGCTGCTGCGTCTTGCTCCACATCAACGGCACACCCCCAGCTCCCCAGGTACTATTCCACATCCCGGATCCGGCAGTGTCACGCCGTCTTGGGTTTGACTTGCTTGAAAGCAGAGAGTCACGGACAAGCACTGCCTGTATCCGCCCTGAGCGCTGGAGTGGAAAAGTGGCTGACTCATAGCGACTGGATATGGGCAAAGTGGTTTGTGACAACGGAACAAATTTGTTAGCGGCATTGAAGTTGGGCAAGTTGTCACATGTGCCGTGCATGGCACATGTGTGTAATCTGATCGTACAACGCTTTGTGCATAAGTACATAGGCTTACAGGACGTCCTGAAGCAGGCCAGGAGGTGTGTGGCCATTTCAGGCGTTCCTACACGGCCATGGCTCACTTTGCCGATATCCAGCGGCGAAACAACATGCCAGTGAGGCGCTTGATTTGCGACAGCCCGACGCGTTGGAATTCAACACTCCTAATGTTCGACCGCCTGCTCCAACAAGAAAAAGCCGTTAATGAATATTTGTATAACCGGGGTGCTAGGACAGCCTCTAGGGAGCTGGGAATTTTTTTGCCACGTTACTGGACGCTCATGCGCAATGCCTGTAGGCTCATGCGTCCTTTTGAGGAGGTGACAAATTTAGTCAGTCGCACCGAAGGCACCATCAGTGACATCATACCATTTGTTTTTCTTCCTGGAGCGTGCCCTGCGAAGAGTGCAGGATCAGGCCGTAGATGAGCGTGAAGAGGAAGAGGAAGAGTTGTGGTCACCATCACCTCCAGAAACAGCCTTATCAGCATCGCTTGCTGGACCTGCGGCAACGCTGGAAGAGGATTATGAGGAAGAGGAGTCAGAGGAGGAATGTGGCTTTGAGGAGGAGGAAGAGGAGGAGCAAGACCAACCACAACAGGCATCCCAGGGTGCTCGTTGTCACCTATCTGGTACCTGTGGTGTTGTACGTGGCTGGGGGAAGAAAATACCTTCATTGACATCCAGTGAGGAGGAGGCGGAAATGGTAGCTCGGCATCAACCTTGTGCAAATGGGGTCTTTCATGCTAGCCATTGCCTGTTGAGGGACCCTCGTATAAAAGAGCTGAAGAGCGACCTGTACACCAGGTGTCCAGCTACTAGACCCGGTATAAGCAGAAAGTGTAGTGGAAATGTTACCGAATTACAACAAGTATGAAAAGGATGCAGCATTTGCAAAACCAAATTGAAAGTATGCTTTACTGGCGTATAAGGGTGATGTCACAACTGCTTGAGAATCTAGCGAGAGGTGGAAGTCATCCTCCTCCTCCACGTACCGGCAAGGACAGGATGCTTTAGAGCGTGTTGTTGATGGAGGACATCGCGGACCTTTTTGATCCTACGCATCGCCACAGCCCGCCGGGATCCACCCTCGAAGGCGACTGCGACCGACAGGTAGCAGACTACCTACGCCTTAACTGCAGATATCGACACTCTGAGGAGCGATGAACCCCTTGACTACTGGGTGTGCAGGCTTGACCTGTGGCCTGAGCTATCCCAATTTGCTTCAAGTGTCCTGTCAGAAAAGGACCTTCAGTGCAGCAGGAGGTATTGTCACTGAGAAGAGAAGTCGCCTAGGTCAAAAAAGTCTAGATTACCTCACCTTTATTAAGATGAATGAGGGATGGATCCCGAAGGGACTGACACTGGACGATACATTAGATTAAAAAAGGCCTGATGAGATGAGCTGCCTTGGGCTAAAAATGGTCCACACGCTGCTGTATTTTAGCTCTGAATGCCTGTTGACTTGCGTGACTGATCCGCCACCAACTAGATTTCAAGCCGCCATGTTTTAGGGCACTTTCTGCCTGTGAAACAAACATCAATTATAGATTGAATAGCAGTTAGTTGTCTCAAAGCGGGTGTGTCAGGCTCACGGTGGATACTGTGCCCAGTGCCACCACTCACTCACTGGTGTCACAATAGCTTGGATTTAAAAACAAAAAACTTTTTTCACTGTTATAGATTGAATAGCAGTTAGTTATCTTCAAGCAGGTGTGTCAGCCCTACAGCGTGTACCAAATTTGCAGTAAGAGGACCGACCAAGCCTCTTCTTCCATCTCCCTGTTACAAAAATCAATGCCGTGTACACGCCCACCGATAGGAGACGCGGAAGGTATTAAACTGATCAGAACAATACTAAACACACCACTCCTATCTGGTGGCACATTAGCTTGACCGCGCAGTGCCCCAAATTTGCAGTAAGAGGACCGACCAAGCCTCTTCTTCCATCTCCCTATTACAAAAATCAATGCCGTGTACACGTCCACTGATAGGAGACGCGGAAGGTATTAAACTGATCAGAACAATACTAAACACACCACTCCTTTTTTTTGGTGAGGCTTTACATGACAGACTGATAGGAGACTTATTAAACTCCACGGGACAGAGTGCTTCTCCACGGGACATGTTAACTCACGGGCAGCTGGCTCATCAAGGAACCACAGCAGCTTTCCATGTACAGGTAAGACACGTGCAGCCGGTAAGGGTTCAGGCTCTTCTTCCTGGAGGATAAGCTGCAAGCCTGTTGAACGAGGTGACCTTGCTCGGGTCCCAGGTGTACGGTTCCTAAAATGGCTGCCATATACACGTCCACTGATAGGAGACGCGGAAGGTATTAAACTGATCAGAACAATACTAAACACACCACAAATAAGGTTTCTCTCCTGTATGGCTCTTCAAATGATGCTTAAGATTAGAAGCGGCTGAAAAGCATTTCTCACACTCCGAACAAAAATATTTTTTTTTAACATTCTCTCCACTTTGAACGAAATGACGTTTGGGAAGAGATTAACATAATTAAACACAGGCAGTAAAAATACGGTTTTTAGCCATACCCTGTAACTTTAAAACTACACATCCCATCTTCATAATTACATATTTGGAATCAGCACACTTAAAACATAAACATAACCAAAAATCAACCAAATCCATCCAGGGGTTAAAAAGTTAGCTGGAGGTCCCTTTATGACCGACCGCAAGCACATTTTCCTGCCCAAAACAGTTCCATAGATTTGGGTTGTGAGGTCGGTCTATTTCAGGCTGAAAAAACGACTAAGTCCCATCGCCGAATGGGACTTAGTCTCTGCAGCTGAAATAATTTCCCATTTACTGAACCAAGTGGGAAATAGCAAGGCAGGCACAAAGGGTTTGCACCGGGTCTGGGGACACAGGGGACACCGTCTTAAAGGGGCCGTGTCCCCAACAAGTCTGGGGACACGGCCTTAAAGGGGCAGTGTCCCAATCTTCCTGATGTCCCACAAAAGGTGTTTAAAGGGCCAGCACCAGTCACATAAAGAGTCCATAAGCCCCAATATGCCCAACGACAGTCTTAAAGGGCCATACACACCAAATAAAAGTGCATACATTTTCACAATCTCCCAGGGGCCATAGTCATGCGGGAGGAGGCTGGCAAAGAGGCTTCTCCACAACCCAGGGAAACAGGGCAATTTGCCATTTAAAGGGGCCGTTACAAATAGCAGTTTGTAACAAGGTGTCAATCCATATCTGCCAAGTGACCCGATGTAGGGGGACCAGTCCCTATTCTGCTCTGTGTCGGTGTGTATCAGGGAACCTTAGGACAGGTGTCAATCCATATCTGCCAAGTGACCCGATGTAGGGGGAACAGTCCCTATTCTGCTCTGTGTCAGTGTGTATCAGGGATCCTTAGGACAGGTGTCAATCCATATCTGCCAAGTGACCCTATGTAGGGGGACCAGTCTCTATTCTGCTCTGTGTCCGTGTGCATCAGGGGCTCTGAGGACAGGTGTCAATCCATATGTCAAGGTGTCAATATGTCATATGTCAGGTGTCAATCCATATTGATTGTGATTTAGGAATGTTAGGTGATTTCTGCCCTTTATGGATTAAAACCAGACTCTGTATCAACTGTGTAATTTTCCATGGGAGTTTTGCCATGGATCCCCCTCCGGCATGCCACAGTCCAGGTGTTAGTCCCCTTGAAACAACTTTTCCATCCCTATTGTGGCCAGAAAGAGTCCCTGTGTGTTTTAAAATTCGCCTCCCCATTGAAGTCAATGGCGTTTCGGGCGGTTCGCCGGTTCGCGAACACTTGCGGAAGTTCGCGTTCGCGAACCGAAAATTTGGGGTTCGCGACATCACTAGATGTAAATACCGGAAGTTGCGTCATGACGCAGAAACCAGAAGTTGCGTCATGACGCAGAAACCGGAAGTTGCGTCAGAACGCGAACCGGAAGTGAAAGATTAAGACACAGGATGCCATTCAGATCCGGATGAACACCAAATAAGGGCGCAAAAGTTTAAAAAAAGGCGCCAGAAAAAGGGCGCCAAACCGGATATTTAAAGACTGAAGTGAAATAAGAAAAATAGACTTTTGATAAAGGCTCTAGCCGAAACGTGTTAAGTCTTATTTTATTAAGTGGACTTTTACTATATTGTACCCAGTGTTTTGTTTTTACCCCAAAGTTATAGTGTGTCCAATAAAGTTTTATTTTATTCCTTGCATCCTGGAATATTTTAAGTTACTAATAAGACCACAAAGGGGAAACAGCCTGGTGTGTGAAGTACCACGGACGGATATTTTCTATGCTTTTAGTCTGAGTCAGCTTATTTTAAGTGGCTCATGACCATGTGAGTGAAACCTTATTTGTTTTTTAATTTCTAAGGTTTTTATGTTATTACCCTATGTGTGTTTTCCTGTTTTTATATTTTACATACAGGAGTGAATCAAGCACGGAGTATATTTTTCATTCAAGGGTAACCATAAGTGTTGTTTTATGTAGTGTGCCCTCACCTATCTTTTATTGTATACTGGTTATTTGTATGTGTTTTGAGTGACGCACATAAGGTGATAGGAGCACCTCTTTTATATTTGTGTATTTTATTATTTTAGCCTTATATTCTATTTATACTAATATGAGGAACGCCATATATATAAAATGCAATGGATCTTTAAAAGAAACTATTAAATATTATACTATATTTATATACACACACTATTTCCACAATTATACACTTGATAAGAATGTTCACAAAATTGGTATTATAACACCTACAAATACAAATGATATCATGTAAACAAAGAAATGTCAAATTACATCCTTAGTAAAAATGGTCACAAACAACTTCGAATACAAATGACATCATATATACAATAAGATTTAGAGGGGTAAAAAAACAATAAAAGATGATGGACTTGATAGAAAAAATTTCTTAAAAAACATGGCTGAAAAATATATAAATACCAAATAGCTGATGAACATGGCGACACAGCCAACTTTAATGTAAGACACTCTTAAACAAACTTGTCTTCCTGGCAACATAGGGTCTTTAGGTCCCCCCCACCTCAGGGTCCCACTCCCGCTGGGCTGAAGGGGTTAACACTTACCTTTCTCCAGCACCGGGCTTCGTCTGTGCTGGGAAACTCTCCTCCTCTTCCCGACGTCAGCACCAAACGTGCATTTGCAGCAAGAGCCGCGTGCACATTCAAACAGTCCATAGGAAAGTATTTCTTACTGCTTTCCTATGGACATACAGCGTCTTCTCACTGTGATTTTCACAGTGAGAAGCGCAGAAGCGCCTCTAGCGGCTGTCAGGGTGACAACCACTAGAGACTGGATTAACCCTAGTGTAAACATAGCAATTTCTCTGAAACTGCTATGTTTACAGCTGCAGGGTTAAAACTAGAGGGACCTGGCACCCAGACCACTTCATTGAGCTGAAGTGGTCTGGGTGCCTAAAGTGGTCCTTTAAAAAGTAGTATCAAGAATAAATATAATAATAAAATGGTTATGATTGTAAAATGGTGAAATATTTAATATTACAGGACACTACCTGTATAGGGAAAGCAAAAAATATAAAAAGTTAGAAAAAGTTACCAGAAAAATCAAGCTATACGATAAAAAATCATAGTGTAAAATCAAATAAAATAGACTTAACTAAAATAAAATAACATATGTAATGGTAGATGATTACAGTTGCTTTAATACATAAAGACTAATAAATCCAAATCGACATTTAAACCTGATGGCGAAGTGGTTTTTAGTCTCATCCATTCAGTTTCTTTCATGGCCAGGAGTTTTTCTTTGTCTCCTCCTCTCCAATGTGGAATGATCATATCTAGCCCTATACATAGAAAACTTTGAAAGTTACAATCCATACAGCGTTTGGGTATACTGTGTTTAAGATTTCGTCTTCTGATACCATTAAAATGTTCCAGGAGTCTAACATGTAATTTTTTGATTGTGCGCCCAACATATTGTATCCCACACTTACATTCCAATAAATAAATCACGTTTTTGGTGTGGCAATTAATAAAATGTTTAATTTTAAAAACCTCATTAGTGGTAGTACTTCTAAAATCAATAGTTTTTTGTTTTTGGAATCTGCATGTACTGCAATTTCCACATCTAAAAAAAACCCATTAGGTTTCTCCTTAAGAAAATTGATTGAATTTGAACTGGAGGATATAATTTCAGGTCTAGTTGTTGGTAAAATACTGGGGGTTAAAGTGGATTTTAAGTTTTGTGTTTTCTTATAAATTATGTGTGGCTTTTTAGGTAAAATGTTTATAAAAAATTAATCTGCTGTTAAAATGGGCCATTGTTTCCTAATGGCCTTCTCAATTAAAAAATGCGTTGCTATTATATTTGGTTATAAAATGAATCTTAAAATCCTTTTTATTATCGTTTTTATTAATACTTTTTTTCAAAATTTCTGTTCTGTTTATCTTTTCTACTTGTTTTCCAGAATTGGTAAGGAGATCTGAAAGGATAATGTCTATTTCTGAATTTCTTAGCTTGAACTTGTTTTATTGGTGCAATTTCTCAAGTCTCATTTGTTGGCCTTTAGGTATGTTGTTAAGCCAATTTGGATGGTGACAGCTGGAATACTCTATAAAACCTTTGCCATCAGTGGGCTTGAAGTAAGTTTAACTGCATACAATTAGTGATGTCGCGAACATGAAATTTTCGGCAAATGTTCGCGAACCGCCATAGACTTCAATAGGCAGGCGAATTTTAAAACACACAGGGACTCTTTCTGGCCACAATAGTGATGGAAAAGTTGTTTCAAGGGGACTAACACCTGGACTGTGGCATGCAAACTCCGATCCGCGGCTGCATCTTGCAGCCGCTTAGTAGATAACTCCCTAATTCCCACGGTATTAGAGAGCTATCTACTAAAAGGCTGAAAGACCTAAATTGGTCTTTCAGCCACATTTACTAATACTAAGTAAAGATTACTTAGTATTAGTAAATTCTGCCCCTACTCGCTATGCAGCGAGTAGGGGCATGTCTAGTAAGCAATGAGCTGCCAGTGGCTGCTCACTGTTAAAAAAAAACAAAAAAAAAAACCTATTGCCCCCACCCCTGTGCGACGGGTGGGGGCCATAAATTACAATGAGGGGAGGACCTACTGTCCTCCCCCCCCGGCCCCCACCCCTGGGCGGTGGGTGGGGGCCATAAAGATAATGGGGGGGACCTACTGTCCTCCCCCCGGCCCCCACCCCTGGGCGGCGGGTGGGGGCCATAAAAATAATGAGGGGGGACCTACTGTCCTCCCTCCCCTGGCCCCCACCCCTGCGCGGTGGGGGCAAATAAATCACAATGGAGGGGACCTAAGGTCCTACCCCCCGGCCCCCACCCCTGAGCGGCGGGTGGGGGCCCTAAATACTAAAAAGGGGGGGACCTAATGTCCTCCCCCCTGGCCCCCACCCCTGAGTGGTGGGTGGGGGCAAATAAATCACAATGGGGGGACCTAAGGTCCTCCCCCCCGGCCCCCACCCCTGAGCGGCGGGTGGAGGCCCTAAATACTAAAAAGGGGGGGACCTAATGTCCTCCCCCCCGGCCCCCACCCCTGAGCGGTGGGTGGGGGCAAATAAATCACGATGGGGGGGACCTAAGGTCCTCCCCCTGGCCCCCACCCCTGAGCGGTGGGTGGGTGGGTGGGGGCCCTAAATACTAAAAAGGGGGGGACCTAATG